ATTATGCCTCCATCAGAAAAGATGAATACCCAACTTTTGTATCAACATGGACTGGAGGGGATTATGCTGAGTGAAACAAGTCAAGCAGAGAAAGTCAATTATCATATGGTTTCACTTACTTGTGGAGCATAAGGAATAACATGGAGGACATTAGGAGAAGGAAAGGGGAAGTGAATTGGGGAGATGAAACATGAGAGATTGTGGACTCTGAGAAACAAACTGAGGGTTTGGAGTGGAGGGAGACGGGGGGATGAGTGAGCCTGGTGGTGGGTATTAAGGAGGGCATGTATGGCATGGAGCACTGGATGTGGTACATAAACAATGAATCTTGGAACACTGAAAAAAATAAGATAAAATTAAGATGTTTTTAAAAAATGACAAAGGGCACCGGGTGGCTCAGTGGGTTAAGCCTCTGCCTTCAGATCAGGTCATGGTCCCAGGGTCCTGGGATTGAGCCCCGTATCGGGCTCTCTCCTCAGCAGGGAGTCTGCTTCCCACTCTCTCTCTGCCTGTCTCTCTGCCTACTTGTGATCTCTCTCTCTTTCTCTGTCAAATAAATAAACAAAATCTTAAAAAAAAAAAAAAAAACAACCAACATTGTAACGAGCAAGCAGTTCACTGAATCATAGTACACATTCATTGTTCTGTCCACGCAAATAAAAGTAATGACAAACCACTGCATATTTGTAAGATTGGCAAAATTTAAAAGTCTGATGATATTAAGTACTGACAGGGGCACCTGGGTGGCTCAGTAGGTTAAAGCCTCTGCCTTCAGATCAGGTCATGATCTCAGGGTCCTGGAATTGAGCCCCTCGTCGGGCTCTCTGCTCAGCAGGGAGCCTGCTTCCCTTCCTCTCTCTCTGCCTGCCTCTCTGTCTACTTGTGATCTCTGTCTGTCAAATAAGTAAATAAAAGCTTTAAAAAAATATTAAGGACTGACAAAGCCAAGAAGTGGTAATTGATATATATACATTAATGGGAGATACACTTAAATACTAGGTGATATGGTTCTGGCTATTGAGTTGCAAGTGTAAGTCCCCTGGTGAGGCTCCAGAAAACCTTCTTTTCCCTCTGATTTAAAAAAAAAAAAAAAAAAAAAAAGACAGGCTGGGTTGATAATTGTCTTTTGTCCTTTCCTCTTCTTCCTGCCAGGAATGTGGACATCAGGCTGGAGATGGGGCAACCATCTTGCAACGTGAAGTGTTTTAATCTCATTAATGATATTTTTTGTACATTCAATCTATTTGGTTCCTCCTCAAACCTACCTCTTCTCCCCTGCCCCCCGCCACCCCCGGTTTCTTTTCTTGTGGATAATGACAAAGCAAAAGGAGAATGGCTAACATTCATGAAGTCCTTATTACTCGTAGCTTTGAGTGCCATGTGTGCAACAGCCCATTCTACCCTCACAAATAATCCTGTGAAATAAGAGCTATTTCTTGTTCCAATTTACAGATAAGGAAATGGATGCAGAGGTTAAGTAAATTACCTAGGGTCATGCAGCTATTAAGTGGTAGAGCCAGAGTTCCAAATCGAGCTCCCTGGCTCTAGCGTCTATGCTCATAACTATATGCTACTCTCGGGGCACCTGGGTGGCTCAGTCGGTTAAGCCTCTGCCTTCGGCTCAGGTCATGATCTCAGGGTCCTGGGATCAAGTCCCACATGGGGCTCTCTGCTCAGCAGGGAGTCTGCTTCTCCCTCCACCTCTGCCTGTCCCCACTGCTTGTGCTGGCTCGGTCTCTCTCTCAAGTAAAGAAAAATAAAATATTTTTAAGAAGCTACATGCTACTCTTTATATCTTTTCTCTCTCTGACCTTCTTAAACATACATAGTTTATAGTCTATTAGATTTTTATTCTGTTTTCTAAAATTGTGGGTGTTTTGCTTCTCCTGTTTGTTCAACCTGCTGATTCTTCTTTATGAAGAATTATTTCCTTGTATGTTTTAGCATGTTTGATGCACATTCAGTGACACGGAGCATGTATCATGTGCTCATGGGCTGCTCCAGGAGCTGGGAATAGATAAGTAAAGCAGGCAAAGTGTCTGCTCTCGTACCTTAAATTCTAGTCGGAGAAAACGGACAGCAAACAAATAAAAGGCTAGAGAATGGGAAGGGGTGATTCTATAGGATGGTAAAGGAAGGCTCTCGGATAAGGCTACATTCCAACGGAGACCTGAAAATGTGAGAATGCGAGCTACGTGTATCCCTAGGAGCAGATTCCCAAGCAGAAGGATTGGCAAGGACAAAGGCAGCATGGCAGGAAAAGGCCTTGAATGTTAGGAATGAGCAGAGGTCTTTGTGGCTGGAATGCAGTGTAGGAGGGATAGAGCAGAGGAGACGATGAGGGCAGAGAGACACCTGGACCGGGCGGTGCACATCAGGCAGGGCCTTTCAGGTCATGAGAACTTTGAGGCTGGCTGGGGAGCCTCTCAAGGCTTTCTTAGTGGGTCATAAGCTCAGGGATGGTATTTAAAACTGTGAGGCTAGCTGGGCTCACCTAGGGAATGGTGTAAGTAGGCAGGAGGTCTGAGCCCTGAGGCCTGGGGCATTCCAGCAGTAGGGGAGGAAAATTTTTCCTCCACCTTCTTCCTGGCCGGGTCTGGAAATTAAACTGACCCAGACACATTAGCGTGAGAAATGCATACAAAATGACTCCATAGAAGTTTCGCATGACTCTGACACCTTTATCGGGAAATGAAGAGCCAAAGTATCAGTTAGGCCTGAGTATCTTTTTATGCTAGGTTCCTTGACGAGTGGACAGTCACCGAGGAATATGGTAGGTGAAGGGGTGTGAGATAAATTTACTAACCAGGGAAGCTTGGCAAAGCCTGTTTGTTCAGATTCTCTTCAGCGTCCCTTTGTCTTCTGAGATAAGGAGGCTCTTTCCTCTGGGTATAAGGAGGGCACCTCTCACCTGGGGGTTATTTTAGTTGCAGGAGAGAGGGGAGGAGGGTTCAGACTGCCCTTTCTGCTTCTGCTGTTTTCTCAAACTCCTACAAAATATTCAGTATGCCAACGTGCCATAGTTTGGGGTAGCATGTCCTGAGTCCCCTAGCATTCGGAGGCTAGGAAGATGAAGGACCAGCCGAGGACACTGAGAAGGAGTGGCTGGCAGCCAGGGAAGAACAGGGAGCAGAGGTGTCCGGGCATCAAGTCAAGAGAGCGTTTTAGGGTGAAGACAGTGACCCCACTCCCTGCGTAAAATGAGGACAAAGAAATGACCATTGGATTTGACATGCAAGTTACTAGTGATCTTTTTAAAAAAATGATTGTGATGGATGGGGATGGAGGCTGATCGGAAGAGAACGGGGGAAGTGAAGACAGCAAATGAAGAAGCAAACCAAAAAAGTCTTTCCGGGCTCAGTCGCTGGAGGGTCCAACTCTTGATTTTGGCTCAGGTCATGATCTCAGGGTGGTGGGATCCAGCCCCATGTGGGGTCCCCACTCAGCGTGGCATCTGCCTGAGGTTCTCTCTCTCTCCTTCCTCCTCTGCCCCTTACCCCCTCAAATAAAGGAATAAATAAAATCTTAAAACAAACAAACAACCTCTTTCAATGAATTTTGTGTGAAGGGAGCAGAGAAATGAGTAGTAAACTGGGGTACCCAGCTGGCTTAGTGGGTAGAACATGAGACTTTTGATCACAGGGTCTTGAGTTCAAGTCCCCTGGGTGGTGTAGAGTTTACTTAGAATAAAAAAATAAAATAAAATTTTATATATATATATACATATACATATACATATATATATATATATATATATATATATATATATATAGAAAGAGAGAGAAAGAGAGAAGAAATGAGTTGTAGCCAGAGATGCATGTGAAATAAAGGGAGGTTTTGTTTGCTTGTTTCTAAGATAGGAAATAATAGACGTCACAATGGTATGATATTGGAAATGATCCACTTTATAGGAAGAGGGGAACGATTTTGAGTTGCGTCTAAGCAGAGATCATTTCCCACCTGGCTTGGGACCTGGGACCACCCGTCCCAAGCGGTTGTGCATTTCCTTCTGCCAAAAGCCCAGGAGCCCCACCAACCCAGGACTAATTTCCACATTAAATTTACACCTTGAGGTTTCTCACACCAAACAGGTAGAATAAATTTGAATTCCAGAACCTCCAAAAGCACAACCTTGGGTCTGCTAGTTCACCTAGGTACTTTTTTTTTTTTTATATTTTATTTATTTATTTGACAGACAGAGATCACAAGTAGGCAGAGAGGCGACAGAGGGAGAGGTTCGGGAAGCAGGCTCCTCGCTGAGCAGAAAGCCCGATGTGGGGCTTGATCCCAGGACCCTGAGATCATGACCTGAGCCAAAAGTAGAGGCTTTAACCCACTGAGCCACCCAGGCACCCCATACCTAGGTACTTTTTTTTTTTTTTTTTAATTTCCCCAATGAAGGCCCTGCAAAGACAAACTTTGTGTGTTTCCAGGATTTATGGGCAAAGTTCACTAGTTTTTCTTCATGAAGGCCATGGTCCCTAGAGGATGCCAACTTGTTACTGATAAAAACCTGAAGCCACACTGGGGCTCCGGCTCTGCTCCTTCTCCACCACCGGCATCTCGGGATTTCTCATTTTCTTGCAAGCCCCGCCATACATTTAGAACATTTGGGTATATTTTAAGTGGGGGAAGAAAAAATAGAGAGAGGGAGACAAGCCATAGGAGACTCTTAACGATAGAGGGCAAACGGAGGGTTGATGGAGGTGGGTGGGGGTTGGGCTAGCTGGGGGATGAGTATCAAGGAGGGAACGGAGCAGAAGGCCTGAATCATAGAAGATGCTCGGTAAAGGTTGGTGACTGAACAAATCACTGTCCAAAAACCACACAACTCGTAGTACAGTACTAAGTGATTTTCTGCATCTTGGAGACTCTGTCCTCTAAGAAGAAAGTGATTTCCGTGGAGACGAGAGAGAGGTTTCTGATGGTTGTTTCGGTTGACTCTGCTGGGAAAAGCTATGTCACTTTTGTCTGGTAACCACGTGTCTTTTCCTCTCCAGAATGGAGATCTCCTCTCACCAGTCCCACCTCCTGCAACAACTGAATGAGCAGCGCAGACAAGACGTCTTCTGTGACTGCAGCATTCTGGTGGAAGGGAAGGTCTTCAAAGCGCATCGAAATGTATTATTTGCTAGCAGTGGTTACTTCAAAATGCTCCTTTCTCAGAATTCGAAGGAGACGAGTCAGCCGACCACAGCTACATTTCAGGCCTTCTCCCCTGACACTTTTACGGTCATCCTGGACTTTGTCTATTCTGGCAAACTCTCTCTCACGGGTCAGAACGTCATAGAAGTGATGTCAGCCGCCAGCTTCCTTCAGATGACTGATGTCATTAGCGTATGTAAGACCTTTATTAAATCTTCGCTAGACATCAGTGAGAAAGAAAAAGATCGCTATTTCAGTCTCTCCGATAAAGATGCCAATTCTAACGGTATAGAACGTTCCTCCTTTTATAGCGGCGGCTGGCAAGAAGAAAGTGGTTCTCCGCACTCTCACCTGAGCGCAGATCAAGGAACAGGTGTCATAAGTGGGAAATCTTGGAGTAAGTATAATTACCATCCAACCTCCCAAAGGAATACTCAACAGCCTTTGGCCAAGCATGAACAAAGGAAAGACTCCATTAAAAAGTCCAAACATTTGAGGTTGTCACAGCCTTCTGAAGTCGCTCATTTTAAGTCCAGCAAACGAGAAGCACGAACCTCAGATTCTTCTGGCCACATTTCCCAATCTGAAGAACACGCACAGATTGATGCTCACATGGACTCCACGCCCGTTGGCTATCCGTATGGTCCAGGATCTGATGTCACATCCAGAAGCTTTCCAGGTATCCAAAAAAAAAAAAAAAAAAAATCAGTCCCCTCAGTGAGTCCTAAGGCTCCTGTACTATACAAACCAATCCTATCTCAACATGCCCTTACTTTGAAGTGTTATGGGCAGTTGAGCCAAGTGATTTTTTTTTAAGTCATTATCCTCTAATCAAATTTATTTCATAAAACATGAATTTAAATTTCTAATTAAAAATAGTATTGGATAGGGGTGCCTGGCTGGTTCAGTTGGTAGAGCACATAACTCCTGATCATAGGGTCATGAGTTCACACCCCACATTGGGCATGGAGCTTACTTTAAAAAAAAAATTTGAAAAAGAATAAATTTAATAATAGTCAAAACAATAGAGTTCTGAATTTCAAAGCCAAAGATTTTCCCAACCTGTGTCATCAGATGATTAGATTACTGTTAAGCCCCATAGCTCTTTTTTTAAATGGCTCAATCCCTAAGATGCATATCTTCACTTTAAATTACATATTTTTTTCCCAAGTATTTACTCAGGAGGAGCATTTTTATACAGAAAAGTTAAACAGAGCATTCATGCATATTTACAAAGGTTCACAGACCCAAGACTTAAAAAAACTGGACTGCATCTGATTTTATTGAGATATAAAGACATAATTAAAAAACCACACACAACCCATAACATAACATCTGTGTAACCCTGTGTACAACAACAACCGGAAACATCTCATTTTTATGATAGTAGTAAAATGCAGAAAGACTATGGAGGTGTTGGTTTCAGTAATCCACCCCTTACCACCAGAAGACTGTAGTAGAGAACAGGAATTAGAAATGTATGTCATGGGGCGCCTGGGTGGCTCAGTGGGTTAAGCCTCTGCCTTCGGCTCAGGTCATGATCCCGGGATCCTGGGATCGAGCCCCGCATCCGGCTCTCTGCTCAGCGGGGAGCCTGCTTCCCTCTCTCTCTCTCTATCTCTGCCTGCGTCTCTGCCTACTTGTGATCTCTGTCTGTCAAATAAATAAATAAAATCTTTAAAAAAAAAAAAAAAAAAGAAATGCATGTCATACTGGAGGGCCTGGGTGGCTCAGCCCGTTAAGCAGCCAACTCAGTTTTGGCTCAAGTCGCTATCCACAGTTGTGGGATCGAGCCCTATGTCAGACTCCATGACATCAGATTCTGTGCTCAGAGCTCAAGCTCAGTCTGTTCGAGATTCTCTCTCTCCTTCAGCCCTTCCCCCTACTCATGCTCTCTCTCTCAAAATAAGTAAATTTTTAAAAATTATTTAAAAAAAAGCATGTCATATAGTTCTGCCCCAATTAATCAGGTAGCAAACTTGCTTAATAGCTTACGTGTGGATTTAAAGGAAAATTATAAGATGAAACACCTGCAGATTATAAGATTCAGATTATATACTTAAAATTATTTTTATTTTAGGAAAATTTCAAACATACACAAAAGGAAAGAGAATAGTGTAATTCATCTCCAGGTATCCCTTACCAGTTTGTACAACTTCCTACTCACTGCCAATATTGTTTCATCCGTATCGTTACTCCTCACCCCTCCCTTTATTTATTTATTTATTTTTTTAAGATAGTGAATTTTATTTTATTTTTTTTAAGATTTTATTTATTTATTTGACAGAGAGATAGATCACAAGTAGGCAGAGAGGCAGGCAGAGAGAGGGTGGGGGAAGCAGGCTCCCTGCTGAGCAGAGAGCCCGATGCGAGGCTCGATCCCAGGACCCTGGGATCATGACCTGAGCCGAAGGCAGAGGCTTTAACCCACTGAGCCACCCAGGTGCCCCTCCCTTTATTATTTTTAAGCAAATAGCAGACGTCATAAGTTTTCATCTATAAATATTTCAGAATGAATCCCTAAAATGTAGTCTTAAAAAAGGTGGGGTGGGGGCCTCAGTGAGTTAAGCATCCGACTCTTGATTTCAGCCCAGGTCATGATCTCAGGGTTGTGAGATCAAACCCCACATCCGATTCCAGTGCTAGGCATGGAGCTTGCTTAAGATTCTTTCTCTCCCTCTGCTCCTCCACTTCCCTAAAAAAATACCAAAACAGAACAGGACATGCGACTCTTGATCTCAGGGTTGTGAGTTCAAGCCCAATGTTGGGCATGTAGCCTACTTTAAAAAAATAAAAATAAAGTTGTCTTTAAAAAATAAATAAATAGGGGCGCCTGGGTAGCTCAGTGTGTTAAGCCTCTGCCTTTGGCTCAGGTCGTGATCTCAGGGGCCTGGGATCGAGCCCCACATTGGGATCTCTGCTCAGCAGGGGCCTGCTTCCCCTTCTCTCTGCCTGCCTCTCTGCCTAGTTGTGATCTCTGTCTGCCAAATAAATAAATAAAATCTTTTATAAATAAATAAATAAAAACACTATAATACCATAATTGTACCTAAACGGAATTAACAGTTCCTTAACATCAGTAAATAGCCAATCAGTATTCACATTACCTCTGTTGTCATATAAAATTTTAAAAAACAATTTGGTTGCAGGTAACATACTTTAGAACAAGAGGCAACTGTATTTTCCCGTAGTACTAACCTGAAAATACGTGAAATTGTAGCCTGTCACTGAGCTTACTGAAAGTCTTGCCGAGCTCTGACCATTGACCAAAACATCAGAGCAAAAATGAGAAGTCTTTGTTCCACTTTAAAATAGCACAAGAGTGATCTTTTCTCTGTTTGGGTTCTGTACTTTTATAATTTTAGGTTATGCAAACCTAACTTCAACAATGAACCACTGAATTTAAGGGCTATTAAATTGATGAAGTTTGCCTCCAAACTAATATCTTGAGTACATGAGTTTTATTTTATTTATTTTTTTCAAGTTTATATATATGTATTTTTTTACTAATCTCTGCACCCAACGTACGGCTCAAATCCACACCGCAGAGATCCAGAATCACGTGCTCCAATGACTGAGCCAGCCAGCCAGGCTCCCCTTGAATACATGAATTTTAAAATAAAAAATTAAATAGCCTTGATAGTTTTTCCCCTTTAAAAGTGTTACAAGTGTACAAGAAGTAGAGGCAAGGGGATAAAAATATGTCAATAAAACACATCACTTAAAAGCTATAATATGAAATACTTTGGGGTTGTACCTCCACTTCTTTTGCTTTTGTTTTTGTCTTTTTTTTTTTTTTAAATCTCTAGTTTTAAAGTCCAGCACTCCCTTTTTACATTTCAAATCCAGTGACTCCACAACGCAGAATGAGAGGACAAGCGCAAGAGTCTAAATTTACCCCAACGTTATACATCTCTCAAATGCTCACGTTACTGTTCTGGACTCAGGGGTGCATGGACAATGGAGTCTTTTTTTTTTTTTTTTAAGTTTGTTTGTTTGTTTGTTTGTTTGTTTATTTATTTGACAGAGATCACAAAGTAGGCAGAGAGGCAGGCAGAGAGAGGGAGGGAAGCAGGCTCCCTGCTGAGCAGAGAGCCCGATTTGGGCCTTGATCCCAGAACCCTGGGATCATGACCTGAGCCAAAGGCAGAGGCTTAACCCACTGAGCCACCCAGGCGTCCCTGGACAATGGAGTCTTGATGACATCTCTTCCTTCTCCTTTCCTCCTACCTTTGCAAGATCCGACTCACCAACTCCTTTGGGATTTTTGATGTTAGATTAGAACTGTTGTGGTGAACTTTCCAGTGATTTAATCAAACTGTTTCCTGACAGATGATCTGCCCAGGATGCGGTTCAAGTGTCCCTACTGTACCCACGTGGTGAAGCGGAAGGCAGACCTCAAGCGCCATCTTCGCTGCCATACAGGGGAAAGACCCTACCCGTGTCAAGCCTGTGGGAAGAGATTTAGCAGGCTGGACCACCTCAGTAGCCATTTCCGCACAGTACGTACAGGACTTTTCCTCATTTTACTTCTTGAGAAACGTGTGCATTCACCTGCTTTCGGATCATCTTAATTTACTGAGGGAAATCTTTTCCTACAACTCTGCTCTGTTGGAAATGTTTCCAACCTAATGGTTTCACTTTGCACATAATGCCTCATTTAATATATATTTTCATTCTCCTTTGAGACCGTGAAGTAGGAGATATTCTTTTGAATATCCATTTTGTTTTCTAAATTTTTTTTTAAGGATTTTATTTATTTGACAGAGATCATAAGTAGGCAGAGAAGCAGGCAGAGAGAGAGGAGGAAGCAGGCCCCCCTCTGAGCAGAGAGCCTGATGCAGGGCTCGATCCCAGGACCCTGGGATCATGACCTGAGCCGAAGGCAGAGGCTTTAACCCACTGAGCCACCGAGGCACCCCTGTTTTTTAAAATTTTTTATTAATTTTTAAAAAATGTCAATTTTAGTTCATTTAAAATCGAGTATGTTTTTACATACCGGTCTCGTCAAGAGCCTGAGACGATGTAAACTAAAGATACCTGGATCTCCAGGTCAGAATGACCACTGCGTGTGGCGATTCTGCGTGTCCTGGTGGTTCTCTGATGCTTACCTGGTAGAATCTCAGTCCAGTTTTTGCTGTCCATCCTCTGTCCCCTGTGCCCCTTTCGAGTCTCTATCTGTAGTCTCCTCAAGGAAGGGAGCAAGGTGGGCAGTAGAGCTACTTCCACTCGGACTGGACTGTCAACAGTCGGGAACATCTCAGCGAATTTGCTGTTCAGTGCTATGGTGGGCTACTAAGACAGGGACGTTGGAATTACTCTGCTGTTCATCTTGCAGCAAGAATGTTTTCTGAAATCTGTGTTCTCTTATGCTTCTATTCCCTTTGTATCAGCCCCTTTTAACTTCAAAGGACAATGGGTCACTGAGGGTGATTTCTTCATGCATTGCTCTGGACTTAGTTTTTAGCAAATACAGACTGAGCACCCATGTGCCAGCCCCCTTTTCTCAGAGCTAGGTATCCAGCAGTGGGCAAAACAGACAAAATCTCTGCCTTCCGACATCTGGGTGGCTCAGTCTGTTAAGTGTCTACCTTTGGCTTGGGTCATGATCCCAGGGTCCTGGGATCGAGCCCCGCATCGGGCTCCCTGCTCCCTCTCCCCATTGCTTGTGCTTTCTGTAGCCCCCCCTTAAATGAATAAATAAAATCTTTAAACAAACCTGTGGCTTCATTAACCTTATGAAGCTAGGATTTTTTAAATTAAAAATAACATTTTATTATTGCAAAAGCAATGAACATGCATTTTAAAAAGTAAAAATAAGAAAATAAAAATATTTTTACCACCAGGCACTACCATTCCCCCCCCTTTTTTTTAAAGATTTTATTTATTTATCAGAGAGAGAGAGAGAGTACAACCAGGGGGAGCAGCAGGCAGAGGGAGAAGCAGGGCTCTCTGCTGAGCAAGGTACCCGATGCGGGACTTGATCCCAGGACTCTGGGATCACGACGTGAACCGAAGGCAGATGCTTAACACACTGAGCCATCCAGGCATTTTCAGATACCACCATTCTTAAGACGGTATCACATGCATATAGATGGTTTTTGTTTTTGTTTTTTTTTTACCAAATTAGATCGTACTGTTTGTGCCTGCTATCTTTATGAACAAGCTCTACCTTTCCATCTCAATGGAAATTTTATCTAACATCCAGTTCAATTTCAAACCTCCCTGTAATCCCTCAATACCTTTTAGAGCTTGTTTGTCCAAACCAGTACCCAGTGAAGGATCCTGTACTACATCTCATTAAGTCCCTTAAATATGTTTTTAAGAGAGCATAGTCCTCCTTGCCTCCCTTTTCATTTCCGTAACACTGACTTACTGAAGATGCAGAGATAATTAACCTACCTCTCGATTTCTCTGCTTGCTTTCACAGGTGTCATTTAGCTTGTTCCTCTGTCCCCCTGCATTTTCTATAAACTATATGTTTTTTTTTTAAGATTTATTTATTTATTTATTTATTTATTTGAGACAGAGATCTCACGTTGGCAGAGAGGCATGCAGAGAGAGAGGAGGAAGCAGGCTCCCCACCGAGTAGAGAGCCCGATGCGGGGCTCGATCCCAGGACTCTGGGATCATGACCTGAGCCGAAGGCAGAGTCCTCAACCCACTGAGCCACCCAGCCGCCCCTAAACTATATGTTTTATCTAAAGGCTTAATGAAGGGATGCCTAGGTGGCTGAGTCGATTAAGTGTCTCCCTTCAGCTCGGGTCATGATCTCAGGGTCCTGCTGGGATTGAGCCCCTCGTCCAGCCCCTCGTCCAGCCCCTCAGTGGGCTCCCTGCTCAGTGGGCAGTCTCCTTCTTCTTCCTCTGCCCCTCCCCCTGCTCACACACATTCTTTTTCAAATAAATAAATAAAATCTTTAAAAATAAATAAATAGGGGGTGCCTGGGTGGCTCAGTGGGTTAAGCCTCTGCCTTTGGCTCAGGTCATGATCCGGGGTCCTGGGATCGAGTCCCACATGGGGCTTTCTGCTCAGCAGGAAGTCTGCTTCTTCCTCTCTCTCTTTCAGCCTGCCTCTCTGCCTACTTGTGATCCCTGTCTGTCAAGTAAATAAATAAAATCTTAAAAAAGAAGAAAAAAAGAAAGCAAATTTAAAAAATAATTTAAAAAATAAATAAATAAATAAATAAATAAATAGGGGCGCCTGGGTGGCTCAGTGGGTTAGGCCTCTGTCTTTGGCTCAGGTCATGATCTCAGGGTCCTGAGATCGAGCCCCGCATTAGGATCTCTGCTCAACAGGGAACCTGCTTCTCTCTCTGCCTGCCTCTGCCTACTTGTGATCTCTGTCTGTCAAATAAATAAATAAAATCTTTTAAAAAATTAAAAATTTAAATAAATAAATAAAGGCTTAATGGATTCAAGGTAACTACTTTCAGTTAGAACACATCAAGGGTAAAATTCTTTAACTCATAATATGTCACATTAAGAGACACAATATCTGGTGGACCCATCATTCATATTGTTAAGATTGGTCTCTAAAGTTAGGGTAATAAGACTGTGACCCCACCATTTTTCAGTTAAAGGTGCCACCGTGTGATTAGAAAGGAATCTGTGTGGAGCTGTTTTGGCATTATGCTACTATCCATTTCCCTATCAACCATTCATTTCGTGGTATTAATATCAGTTAATAAACTCTGTCCAAATTATTAATTTTACTTGGGTTGTAGAATGATTTGCTAATTTTATAATTTCTTCTACCTTATTAGCTAGAATTCTATAAAGTAAAACTTTCCTTCATCACCTGGGACTATTCAGTTACTTTGAAATACAGTTACTACAGGAGAAACAGGATAAATATTTAGTTCTTCCCTTTAATTATCAATTTTCAGAGTAAAGAGTTGATTTAATAGCAGTTTCTAATGGCAATATGAATATTTTCTGTTTGGTTTTTTTTTTTAATAGCATATGGTCTCATGAATTCTTATTGGTTCATTGTATTTGGATCTACAACAATTATTATTCTTTTTGATACTCAAATTTTCGGTTTTGTCCAGTGAGGACAACTTGAAGCTATTTCTTGCATCCCTTTGTCATAACTCCAGTAAATATTCAAGGTGGCCTTATTCTCTGGCCCTCAAATTTCCCTATGCTCACCTTGTATTTTCCCTGGGAAATACAAGTCGCAAACCTGGAATCAGCCATTTCTCAAAAGACACTTGGTTCCTTTTAATGGGGAGTAAAATTAGAAATCAAACTTTGGATACCTGGAGTGCTCACTACTCATCGTTACTAAGGGGTCATTCCTCTTAGATTATTTCAGTGGATAGAACTAGAAGATACATGTTTTTTAAATAGTGGGTTTGTGATATTTTCATTTTTTTTTTTTGTATTTTCAAGTTTAACATTATAGTGTTTCACTTAATTTCTTTGACTTAGTAACTATATTGGAATTGAGGGGATGGGGGATAAACACAAATCTGCCAGAACTTTCTAAGAAAACACCACCACATAGAATACCCATAATGTTACTATCTCAGCAACAATAAGGGCACATTCAAATTGTGTACTTTTGATATTTACTGATTAATATCTCAACAGTTAAGCAGAAAATAATAACTATACTATACTTTCTTAGGTATTTTACCAGACCGCATTAGTTTTCTTGTTTTTTTTTTTTTCTTTTCGCTATTCGTGTTTGGTGGCCTACTTCCATATTGTTCTAATTTTATCTAAATGAATATGCCATAAATAGTAATTCAATAGTATAAAATTAATTGTAATGGTTTTTGAGTAGAACCCATAATCTGCTTCTGACAGCTGTTAAAAAAATTGTTTATTAGTAACTGTAATTATGTAATTATTCATCAGTTACAAATTTTTCCCAAAGCATTTCACACATAGTAACTCATTTGGTCCTCACCACCTGAGTTGTATTCTCATTAGTAAGGTGGAAGTAGGCAGAGATAGTAATAGGCTGATACATGGCAGAAGTACCACAGTTGTTGTTATGACCAGTTTCCATTTTGATTGGCCCCCTTCCATTCTGTTTGGGTGGTGTCCATATCTTACTAGTTGTTAAATATTTTGCCTATCGAGGTGACTGGGGGCTCATGGGGCACCTCCGTGGCTTAGTCGTTGAGCGTCTGCCTTTGGCTCAGGTCACGATCCCAGGGTCCTCTGATTGAGCCCCGCATTGGGCTCCCTGCTGGGCGGGCAGCCTGCTTCTCCCTCTCCCACTCCCCTTGCTTGTGTCCCTGCTCTCGCTGTGTGTGTCTCTCTCAAATAAATAAATAAAATATTTAAATAAATAAATAAATATTTATTTGCCTGTTACCCTGGAAGCAGGTTTATATTGTTTTCAATTACTTGCTTCGAGATACATGGCTAGTAAATGACAAAAGCAGGGCTAGAGCCTAAGCCTTCCTGTTCCTACTTTAGTTCTCTTTATACAGGATCTTTCATTAATAGAAGTGGCAAGTAATCCTTCTATCCAAAAATAGGTTCTGATGGGGAACCTGGTCGATTAAGTGTCTGCCTCCGGCTAAGGTCATGATCCCAGAGTCCTGGGATCAAGCCCCACATAGGGTTCCCTGCTCAGCAGAAAGCCTGCTACTCCTTCTCCCTTGCCAGAATAAAGGTATATAAAGTCCTTGGAATAGTACATGTGATATATTTAGTGTTTGCAATTATTATTCTGGGACGGTGTCCCTTGTTACCTCAGATATCAATACTGTTGGATTAAAGAATAGGTGAGATTGTTAAGCATGTTTTATTAAACATAAAAATGTTATATCCGTCATACAGAGAAAGGTGGTGTTTTATTTGTGATGTCAATTCATCATCAAAACCTGTGATCTTTTTCTAATAATTAGAAGTTAATTTAATATTAGCACTTGGCTTTGGACATCTTAAGTTTGTAAACTGGAACCTAGATATCGAACCGTTCTGCTTTCGAAAAATCCTTTTTTATAACTATTTCCATCTCTACACAGATTCACCAGGCATGCAAATTAATCTGCAGGAAATGCAAACGCCACGTGACTGATCTAACAGGGCAAGTGGTCCAGGAAGGAACCAGGCGCTACAGACTCTGTAATGAGTGCCTCGCTGAAGTGGGAATAGACAGCCTCCCCATTGATCTGGACGCCGAACAGCATCTTATGTCCCCATCAGATGGAGATAAAGATTCCAGATGGCACTTGAGTGAAGACGAGAACAGATCGTACGTGGAAATCGTAGAGGATGGGTCTGCTGATCTGGTCATACAACAGGTTGACGATAGTGAAGAAGAAGAAGAGAAGGAAATAAAGCCCAACATTAGGTAGCTAACATGTGAACCAACAGCGCTGTCATGTCTGCAACTTACGCTGACTTCCTGTATCTCTCTCTTTCCGTGGTCAGAGTCTGGCTCACAAAGGCATCAGACTGACATTAAGGTGATGGCCTAATAGAACTTGCATGCTTTCCGAACAGGTCATGGTACCCATTCTGAACTTTGTTGCCCTAAAATGTGTTGCTGCACTGGAAAGAAAGACCTAGCTTGAGTTGGCATGATGGACGAACAATTAATCCTCTTCCTTTTATTACAGAGATACATTTTTTCTTTTAATGTTGAAAGATCTACTTAGCAAACTTTTCTCAAAGAAAATATTTTAAATAAATTTACCACAACCAAACTTTATGTAAGATAATTTCAAGGTGTTTCAAAAACACAAACTACCAATATTGAATCACAGGGAACCAAGGAAGAGCACATTTAAGGGTCTGGCACCCTTACCTGACTGAATTATAAGTCTTTCTGTTAATTTCAGATCTAATTTAATTTCAGATCTAAAACAACCTTTCAGTATCCCAATATCCTAGATATTGTTTTAGGATTATGGCAGATGACAAATCTAAAATGTGTGAAACCGTTCATAGTTGAATTTTTTGTCATTAAGGTAAAGATGACTCTTGTGTAGTCAGTATTGTTTAAAAAACAAAAACCTAAAATAGAGGAAGACCAGAGATAACATACAGACATCATCTTCTAAAGCAGGAAACAAATACTGCCTAAAAGTTAAGGTAGTTTGTGAAGATCTGTCAGTATAATTCTCTTCCTCTCTAAAGGAAAACGAGCAAACAAACAAAAAAACAAAAAATGATGAACAAGAAAATTAGAGGTTACGAGTTCTTAAGAGTAATTTCTAACATTTATTGTTCTGCTATATTATTTCTAAAGTGCTCTCTCACACATTTTCTCACTTAATCAGCAAGGGAGATATTACTGTCTCAAATTTACAAGTGAGGAGGTTAATCAGAAAGTTGAAGTGGTGGGACTGGTGATGGACAGGTCTTGATTTTAAACAGCCTTCTTTCAACTGTCCCCATATTGTCTCCTAAAATGGTGAAAACTTGAAGTCAAACCTCACCAATCTCAGTAATCAGAAAAAAAGCCTATTAAAATTAGAAAGTACGAAAGAACTTAATAAGCTTCAACAACACATAATAACTTGGACAAGAGTTATCCAAGAGTGCTCAGTGATGTCCCTCCAGTGTCTACTGACATGTTTTTAATGTCAAGTTATTTATATGTAAATGTTATATATAACACTCTTTGAACAAGTTATTTCTTACGTGCTTTAAGCATTTTTCTTATCTTGTTTATATCATTTTTCAAAACAAACTTTTCTCCTAGGACATAAAGTTGTGTTTAAACCCCACCCCTGTAAGGGGTGCCTGGCTGCAACTGTTATCTTGGGAGTTGTTAAGTTTGAACCCAACTTGGGTATAGAGATTACAAAAAAAACAAAAAACAAAAAACAAAAAATAAAACTTTAAAATAAAATAAACTCCTCCCCTTTATGAATTATGAAACATTCTAAAAGTACAGTTCAATCAGAGAAGTATTGTTTTAGTTCTGAAGTTAAAATCTGAATCCTGGAAAAACCGACTTACTGAAGGTTGCTTCAAATTATTACACTTAAGCTTGATATAATTTAATTTTGATAGAGGCTCCATGTATTATACCATATTTATAAATGTCATGATGTCCCTCAAAATGATACTTTCCATTTTATTTTTTCTCTGAGTTACTGATTGTCCTTGATACTGACTGGAGGGCTAAAATGGTTAATTTCTAAAACCTTTCTTACAAATAGATGAGTAACCATTTGTTTTTGTTTTATGGTACTTAATGTTGAGACCTTTCCAAGATTCCCCTGATGGTAAATTTCCAGTTGCTTCAAGACTGGATGGCATGCACCGCGTTCACTGTTCTCCCAACATGACTGGTCCTGAATCAGGAGTCTTCACAATTAAGTTGTATCCAAATGAGGGAGGGAAGCACTTGTCATTCCTTAATCTCACCAAATGGTAACATCTTCTAAAATTGTTATCTAATGTTTAGTCCTTGGAGCCAATAGGAAAAATGAGTGATTGGAGCTTTATTCATGAGAATGAAGTAGTGCATGTATTAGGCTCTAACGCACTTTAGTCTGTGATCTAAATATTCTCTTACGCTTCTGCATGCAAACGTCAGCATGGATGTCAGCCAAGTCCACGGAACACACTGCCACCAGCACCTGTACAGCCTTACCTGAAATAATGCTTTCTCGTTGTTTATAACAAGCATCAAGCTCTCCCACAAAACAGCTATCAAGTTCATCAGACTAGACAGCGTATCTGTTCTACCATTTTAGTATCATAAAAGAAGAACATTTGTGACATTTGTAAGCTGTAAATAATAACTCCAGTTATCGTATCATATGTATCTAAGACATTAGAGACCGATTCTTTCCTAGAGTGAGACTGTCCATTAATGGTTTCTGCGAAAACAAAATTCTTTGGCTTTTAAATGTGGGAAAATGTTACATGGGGGTATAATCTGTTAATATAAGCTTTATTTATGCCGAGGATTTTTTTTTTTAATATTAGCAGAATAGTGGGAGTTCGTTAGAACAAAGTTTGCTCTTACAGTAATGCTGCTTATCAGCTTCTGAATGCCCTTCTAACCCTGGTCCTCAAGAGTGTGTGGTGATGGGAAGACGTTTTGCAAAATAAAACAACATTGCAATCATGCCTAGCGGCTGCAGAAAACAAAAAGAACAAGATCACTGTTTGAAGAGATTTTTTTGCCCAAGAAACCCTTTCTTCAAAAGAATGGTTTCAGGGAAAAGCTCACCATTTAAGGGAGAAACTCTAAAATCAGAGCTACTCTAGTTATAGCCTCCAATGAGCTTCACCAGACACCTCTGCAGAGCTCAGGAAGGCAGCACTGAAAACCTTGGAACCGGGGAGCTTTTTGAATTCCCTTTGAGCACTGGGCTCTCGATTCATTACCTCTATTACTGTGCTTATAACCTGGTAATCAGAGGGTCTTCTAGAGGAGCAGATCACATCTGTAGTCTATACAATGAACATTCTATAGTTATCTTGTCTCAAGACTTTTTCGAAAAACATATTTTTCAACAATGTATTTTTGAGTAATGGAATCAAAACATAGTAACTGCTTTTATGCTACCAAGTTACTGCTTAATGGATGAAGAAAGTTTGGTGTGTCAGTTACTTCAGAGCTCAGAACTGAATTCATCAGAGTTTTTTTGCAAAGTCATGCTAAGATACATTGAAATTTCCACTAGGAGATATATATATATATCTATCTATATACATATAATCTCCTAAATTAATTAATACTGTGGAAATTTAATACTATGAAAAATCACTAAAAGCAATATAGTATAAGATGTATTTAACTGGGAAGGGTGATAATAGGTACTGGAGGACCAAACTTTAGATTATAAATGGAAAGTTCTATGTTATTTTATATTAGAGTGGATCAGTATTACTATTTATCATTTATATAGCATTTTATATTTGCAAAGTCTTTAATAATTTTTATGTTATTCTTTACATATCTATGAAATAGGACAGTTATCTCACATGACACTGAGGCACAGAATGGTAAAGCAACCTCCCTAAGGCAACCCAGTGAAATAATGGCAAATATAGGAATTAGGATGGTCAGATTTTCTGAGTCCTAGAGTATCAGCTGAGTTCACTGAGGTGTGTTGTGTGTTACCCTATTTTATAAGATGCCTTTATACAAATAATAGTCAATTGTCTTCAAGTTGACGTCATTGTATGTGGATAAATCCTATACAGAATAAATATTATGTAAAGGATATGACTTTAGTTATAAGAGTTTTAATGATAAAATTCAGGTTATCACAGAAACAGCACTATTTAGCCAGTGACTTTATATATTGTGAAGTATAATTAATGTTTTATTTTGATGTAGGAGTTCCTTAACTATTCATGCTAACAGAGCCATGAAGAGACCAGAAAAGCGAAATCCACAGAGGATCTATCAACTTCACCTTCTACATGTTAGTCTTTCCCCAGAATTGTATTCATGCCAACAATAGGTCAAATATATTAATAAGTAATAAACCACACACCAGAGAACCCAGCGGCCTCTTAACTTTTCATGGCTTTTTCATACTGAAATAGCATGATATACACTTTTCTCCATCTTTCCCCCCCCCACACCCGTTTCAAAAGCCATTGGAAACTTAACCACCTTTAGATTGGAAACCAGTGACCAAGGTAATGCCAGTCACCTCTACCTTTGGTCTTGATTAGATCACTTACAAACATTATTAAATGGAATACAACTTATAAAGGACATCTAAGAATTTATTATACTTTGCTTTGCTCCTTCAGATTTCTAGATACATGAATTCTTTATATAGTTCCTTGATTTTTCGTATTGGGAAAATCTTTTAATTCCTTGTTGATATTATTTATAACTGCTTAGTTTCTTCATTAAAGAGTAACTTATTTTCATTCAGAGGAAACTGGAACATTTCTGCCCAGACCATAGTTCTCAGCCTTGGCTGCACATTAGAATCACTTGTGGAGCTTTTAAAAATACAGATGCCTTGGGGTGCCTGGGTGGCTCAGTTGGTTGGGTGGCTGCCTTAGCCGGGGTCATGATCCCAGAGTCCTAGTATGGCTCCCCTGGTCAGGCTCCCTGCTGGGTGGGTGAGTCTGCTTCCCTTTCTCCCTCTAACCCCCCCTCATGTTCACTCTCTCTATAAAATAAATAAAAATACAGATGCCTAGGCAAATCACAATCTTTGGCAGATGGGGCCTGGATGAAGTATTTTTTAAAAACCTTCCCAATGTCTTTTGTGCAAAACACGTCCTCTCTTCAAGGTTTCCCTCTGTCTTCCTCATACAGATGCTATGAGGGGCATTCAGACCATTTGACCTTCCAGTTTACTGGTCCTCAACCTTAGGAACATATTAATTTTTGTGAAATGTCAAGATACTATATATGTTCCCTTATTTAAAGTTTTTATTGGGATAAATAATGACACTAAATTATTGGGTAGTCTTAAATAGCCCATTTTTACTTTGGGATGCATTTGGATTTTACTTGAGTATGGGTATTGCATCCTGGGAATTCACACAGAACTTCACATTACTAAGACCTGCATCAGGAATAGGTGGCTGAAATATTATATCCTGAAATTTTACAAGCTTTAATGTTTTCTTTGTTTTTAAAGAAGGAACCAGAACACACTCTAAGCACTATGGAACTTCATTGCCACACATTCGAATTCCATCTATGAATTGAGTTAAATCATTTTTTATTCAAGTTAAATATCATATGGGAGAGGTAGGACTCCATACTAAGATGTGTTATTTAAAGAAGGTGGAGGACAAATTTGGAAATAAAAGTAAATTTCTTCCTTCCAAGTTTTGCCAGTAAAAAACATTTTTTTTTTTTTTTTTTTTTTTTTAAATAAAGTGCCTTTGAGTAGAGTACCATCCTCATTCCCACCTTCAAGGTTGGGCTTGCAATTCAAACAGGATAGGCCTACCCCTTTGGCAGTATTGTGCACACACAAACATTCCCCAGCTTAGTCTACAAAAAAGTTTCACCCAGTAGCAAAGTGGCACTTTTCTTGCATAGTTCAAAAAGACTAAATGCTACAATTAAATAATGTGCTTTTGTTGGGTATTTGAGTTGACTTAAAACTTTTTTTATCTGAGGAGGAAAAAAATCCACGAGGAACACAGCAGTGGAAAGCGGCGCCTCTGAGCACCGGCACTTAGACTCTCCAGTATTAGCCCCCCTATAGCCATCCGCGACATTTATTTGAGCTCAGGTGGGTGACCCGCGTGGCTTTCTCTCTTCTTTCAGGAAAGACTACAGGTAGCAGTGAGTAGTAGGAAACTCCCTTTTCCTTTTCAGTCCTGTTTCTCCCCAAAACTACTTCTCCTGGGGGCGCCTGGGGGGCTCAGTGGCTTGAGCCTCTGCCTTCAGCTCAGGCCATGATCTCAGGGTCTTGGGATAGAGCCCCGCATCGCATCGCATCGGGCTCTCCGCTCAGCGGGGAGCCTGCTTCCCCCTCTCTCTGTGCCTGATTCTCTGCCTACTTGTGATCTCTGTCTGTCAAATAAATAAATAAAATCTTAAAAAACAAACAAACTACTTTTCCTGGAAAGTAGACCACATCTTGACCCCGAGAGAGGCCCCGACCTACCAGACACCCCAAGGCTAGATTCTGGGGGGTGGGGGGAGAGGGAGGACAGAAAAGTCTGCTGTGCAAAGTGGGTGCCCAACTGAAGAGCCCACATTTGCCGAGTGTCTAACTGGATCCCAGTCCTCTGAGGTAGGCATTCCCGCCGGACCCATTTGGTGCCGGAAGTCCTGGTGAGGACCCAGAGGGGGTCCTAGGGAACCAGCCAAGAGAGTCCCTGGCTACTCCCAATCTAGAAATCTAACTGGAGGCAGCAGGAGGTGGAAG